ACGTACGTACGTACGTACGTACGTACGTACGTACGTACGACGACACACGACGACGAGAGACGAGAGAGAGAGAGAGAGAGAGAGAGAGAGAGAGGAGAGAGAGAGAGAGAGTACATGGGGAGCATAGAGCAAGCGAGGGGCACAGAGACAGAGAACAGTACCATGGCATTTAATCTCTATGTTTAAATGCACTGCATTTTAATATGTTAAGTTAGCCATCTTATGGATTCTTTTCACTTATGACAGTTTCCATTGGTTTCTTTATTCTGGAATTTACTATACTGGTAATTTGGGTTGTGTTTTGGGTTTTTGTTAAGTGAGCAAGTTGCCTAGATGGCTTTGCTGCTGCACCTAAGAGGCTTGGTATAGGCAATAAGATTGGAATACTGCAATTAAACATTTTCATTTTGTTAGACCTTTAGCTAAGTTAATTTAAAGGGATTGTATACAGTGAGATCATTTATCTTTAGTATAAGGAGGTCACAATCAATCCTACTCATTAGATGTCAAATTGGATGGCTTGGGCCAGTCACGAAGTCCGAGATTTTTTTTTTTTTTGGACTTTGAGTCTTTTCGATGACACTCTTACAACCATCCGATTTGAAATCCAAGAGACGAGTGATTGGGACCTCTTTGAACAAAAAGTAAATGGTCTCTTTATATACTTTTCTGTATTTAAATTATTGATAGATGCAGAGAAGTTTGAGAAAATAATAAAATTGACAAGAAACAAAGCCAAATACCAGCACATTTCAAAAAAACTAAGGGTTTCTTCTCCATACCCCAAGCTAAAGTTCTAAAAGCCTACGTTTTTCTCTCTTTCATTTTGTAAAAATCATGTGGAATGACGCCCGCAAGGCTCCACATGCCTCGTACATATAACTTAATGTTCCAGTACAAAAAGTGCCCAAACAAATAATACATGGACCCATATATCCTAACTTAACTTAAAATTTGTAATAACAAATTTACCCTTATGAACAGTACCTATAAACAATACTCGTAAATAATACCTATGAAGAATAATTATGAATAGTAACCAGTGAATAGTAAATAAAAAATATAAAAACCTAGAATCCCCAATAAACTAAAAACCCTAGAAATAAACCCTAGAACTAAACTATAATATACATTCTTTGAAATTGAATAAAAAATAAAAATACAAATAATTTTCCCTCCATCATTTGCCCCTGGTTGCAGAAAACACGTCATCAAGTTTTGAAGTGTACAAAGATGAATACAGCATCAAAACCACCTTCTTCAACTTTATTTTTCTTTGTTGGATCAAATATTATTCGTGGTAAAAATAATTCATTAAGAAATGGATCCTAGTATGTATATCGAGGAATCAATGCAAATTTATCAAATACGGCTATTTGTGAACTCCCATTGAAAATCGTGTAGGAAACTTCAAACTCAATTTTTTGGTTTTAGAGGTTTTCTCAACATCTCTTTCATCACTTTCCGAAATCAGGGCTACAATTTGCGGCTTATGAGTTGATCTATTTGATCTGTGGTACTCTGATTCCAACACCCTAAATTTTTTGAATGCTCTATGAAAGAGATGTTGATTTGTTGTACTCTAAATTCCAACACCCTAAATTACAACACCCATTTGATCTGTGCTACTCTGGAGCGCGCAAGTGAAAAGCCTTGTACTCAAGATCCTCTTGAGCTAAAAGATCACCATTTTACCCATCATTGAGGCTCGCAAATTGTTGTGCCAGCTGCTGAGCTTGCCTTTTGAGTTCTTCAATTTTGTCATCTCTGGGATCACAGTGCAGATATACAAAAATTCCCCTTCTACGGCCTGTTCTCGTTGCTATTGGTTTACCCAAATCACAAACCCTAGGCAAATAATCAACAAAAAAATTCGTAAGTCAACAAGATCTAGGTTGTTTTGACAAAACTTTGGCCAAAATCAGCAAACCCTAGACCCCAGTGTAATTTCCCCACTTTGTTGTTGATCTACGGCACAAAAACTTGATACCACAGTACTGTCCGTACACTAATGATACAGTAAAATTTGTACAAAATGCTACAGTACTTTGTGCAGCTCATGGGCTCTGATATCAATTTGATGCAAGAAAATAGAGAAAATAAGCCAACAATAGTTAATAACCATCAAAACAAGCCAGAAAATTAGTAATGACACTTTACCTTTGATAAAATAAGTAATTCCATAAGTATTCTAACTACTTTTCTAAACATCTCCTAAAATCCTAAAAAATATGACAAAGCCTAGACACTAAGAGCTTTTTTTTGTAGAAAATCCCTCAAAGAACTTAAGACCTTAAAAAATAAACCCTAAGACTATAACTAAAAAGATAAATCCTTTGAAATTAAAGAAATATTAAAAATAAGAATAGCTTTGTCCCCCATCATTGTTTTGCCAAATCAACCCAGAACTTACTGGTTTCAGCTAGGTTTTGTTGGTTCTCAACCTAGGGTTTGTGAATTCAATGAACCTATGGAAGCAAGAAGAGGTTGAGGCGAGAGTATTCATATAGATCCACCTCGTGATGAGCGAGATCAGGAGATAGAGTCTCTGAGACAACAAGTTCAAGAACTTACGAGGCGGCTTGCGGGCATCGATCGTGGGCGAGATGAAGTTTTGTCTGTCCAAGATGTTGTTGAGTACAGCCTTTTTTACTATCGTGCTCCCGTGATGAGTTGAGTGAAGGAGAATATGATTGGAGGTATGGGCAGCACTCAAAATCCATAGATCTAAAAGTAGATATTCTTGATTTTGAAGGAAAGTCGCAGCCCAACGACTTTATAGACTGGTTAAATACAGTAGCGAGGATCTTTGATTACAAGGATGTTCCAGATAGTAAAAAAGTGAAGATCATTACAATTAAATTGAAGAAAGGTCGGCCGGTATGGTGGGAACAGCTGAGAGCAAGGCAAGAGAGAATGGGAAAACCCAATAGTGAGGCTGTCGCTTCTGAGTTCGCCTTGTGCTACGCATGTCGCCAACAGATTTCTGATTCGTATAAAGCTTGCAGAGGCTGAAAATAGCGTCAAAGATATGCAATAGTCTCCATTGAGGTGGTGATGCTCTGGTGGCACAAGAGATGACGTTCTTGGGTTACAATTAGGGCCAAAGCTTTTTAAGCCCTTGAGGAGGGCAAGGACCTCCACTGTCGTGGAGTCCTCATGACCAATATGTTTAGAGAAGGAAAGCAAGAGAGAGCCGTCATTATTTTTTAAGCCCTTGAGTGAGCCACTAAATTTTCTTTTTGAAAATTCTCTATGTATATAACAACTGAGATGTGTACAGCATTTTGTTTGACTAGTGATGCGCATATTAGTAGTTGATTCTTGAAGACTTTTTTTTTGGAGAGACGATAACTTAATTCTTGAAGGCTTGAATACCAAATCATCTATCTAAATGTTCCATGGACATGTGGAGGCAGTAGACAGTTTTTAGTTAAAACCCTTGTGCAAAGAAATCAGAAACTATATTATCAATTGACTTCATGTTTTATTATTTCACAATAGAAAATCTGTACATTGTGCTTGTGATTTTTTATCTGTACGTTATCAATCGCATCAGTTAATTATCGTTTAAAATAAAAGGAAAATGAAACTTTCGTAAGTGCTATAGCGTTGTGCTTGTGATATATCTTTATTTGGTAAATTGCTTTTTCTCTTTGCCGGTGAATGTTTTGTAGTATTGTGGTTTATTATATATGAGTTCCTTTTTAAAGATTTGATTTAGCGTTGTCTATTTCGCAGCTGCTGCTACTGCCCCTGTTGCCACAAATGCGGAGATGGATTTCTTCGGCATCTCAGACTTGGCTCTCGTGCCTGTGGCCCCTTCTTCAAATACAGGTGGTGATGCATTTGGTGATCAAAGTTTTGGGTCAGTCTTTGTGGCAGCATCATCAGCTTCCCCTTCGTTGAGTCAGGTACACTTGAGATCGCTTGCTTGTTTTCTCTCTCAATTTCTTTTCAATGTCATTTTCTTCTTTTTATTGTTTCACCTTTTCCTTTGATAGGGGAGAAAAATCTTACCAACCGAGAACGTAATGCTCTTTTTGTGTAATTAAAATACCATTCCTCCATTTTATATGATATTTTAGATATCATATAAGGAAAAGTGTACTATACCCCAACGTTTTTTGGTATATACTAATGCCCAATTGTGATCATTTCCGTCCGATGAAATGAGTGGTTATGGTGAGAGTGGGACCACTAGGATAGTATAAGACCACAATGGTGGGTCCTCCTACGATCATCAATATTCATCACTTCATTGGAGCATTGTTCACCCCAATGAACTTTGGTCTTCCATTTCCATTGTATAATGGTACACTTATCCCTTTTGTACGGTTAAGAGAACGAAATTTTTTGAGAACTGTACATAGTATTCAACCTGCGGTGACCCATACTTCATTTTGTGACTTCCTTCTTAGTAAATTTTCATTTTTTAATACAAAATACAAAACAGTGAACCTTCTTTCCAAAAAAAAAAAACTTACCCATCACATTTTCTAGTTTTGGCTCAATCAAGAGAAGCCAATTTTCCTCATTTATGCATTCCCAAATTATGAACATTTAAGTGCACTGCATTGCATCTTTGCCTTGTCTTTTTTTGCCAATTTCCATTCATCTAAATTATATACTATCTAACACATTTTTCTCTCTTATTGAATATCAAGCAAGAAACAATCTAACCCATCTTCTTCTCTCGTGAATTTGAAATGAAAAACGTGAAAAAACAGCCAATTGAGAATCCATTTGGAGAGATACCATTCAAGGCCATGCCTTCTGAGGCACCATTTGGGGCTCCTCAACCTTCTCAGACACCATTTGGGGCTCCTCAACCTCAGCCTTTCTCAACCTCATCGTCTTTCTCTTCTACCTTTCTGGAAACCAACAATTCTTTCTCTCCACCTGCCCCTACCCCTGCCCCTGCCCCTGCCCCTTCCCCTACCCCCACACAGATGCCTCAACCCAACAATTCTTTCCCCCAATCTTCCCCTCTTCCTCAGATGCCCCAACCTAATTCTTTTGCTCCAACTTCTCCCCTTACACAAATGCCTCAATCCAACAATTCTTTTCCCCAAACTGTCTATGCCCCTCCCCAAGTGCCCCAACCCAACAGCTCTTTTCCCCAAACGGTCCCTGCCCCTGCGCCTGACACAATCCCTGATTTTGGCCTTGGTAGCTCTTTCCAAGGCTTGGTTTACAATCCTACCCCTGCTACATCAGTTCAAATTAGCCCTCCTAATCCTGAGCCTCCAGCCTTGACATCTCAACCGAGTGGGGACATACTAGGAAGCATCTTGCCGGCTACCCCTTCAGTCTCACAGGCCCCTGCTGCCAAGCAGCAGAGGGATAAGTTTGAGCCGAAGTCCACAGTGTGGGCTGACACACTGAATCGGGGCCTCGTCAACCTCAACATATCTGGGCGTAAGTGAATTGTTTCCTTGCATTTAGTTTTATTTTGGAGAAAGAAAGATCTCTCTCTCTCTGACGCCATCTTACGACAACACGTCTGTTCTTTCAGCAAAGATCAACCCATTGGCAGATATTGGCATCGACTTTGATTCTATTAACAGGAAGGAGAAGAGGAGAGAGGACAAGGAGAAGGGATCAGCACAAGTTTCCACTGTCACCAAGGGCAAGGCAATGGGTTCAGGTTCGGGCATTGGCCGAGCCGGTGCATCCGGTATGGCTCCCCCTCCAAACCCCATGATGGGGCAAGGCATGGGCATGGGCATGGGCATGGGCATGGGTGGTATGGGCATGGGCATGGGAGGCATGGCTATGGGTGGCATGGGAATGGGTATGGGGGGCTATGGTGCAGGCATGAACCAAGCTCCTTCTATGGGTATGGGTATGGGTATGGGCATGGGCATGGGCATGGGTGTGGGGATGGGCATGCGGCCGCCCATGGGCATGCCACCTAGTGCTCCAGGCATGCAAGGTGGATATAATCCTATGACGGGTATGGGTGGTTTTGGCACACAACCATACGGGGGCTACCGATAGGATTACGTTCTCTATATTAATCGAAAAATAGGAAGAGAGAAGAGGGGGAAGAGAGAGAGAGTGCATAGCGTGTATTCATGGTCTCGTGGATGATGGGTTAGTTGTGCTGGTTATGCACAGATTGTGCAGGTGAGGAAGAAAGGGCACATGCCTTGTTGCCCACCACCTTTTTTTTCCTTTTCTTTTTCCATGGTATGAGGTGTATAATTTCTTCTTCTTTTGTAAGTTTTTTTATTTTTTATTTTTTTTCTTTACTTTTTGTTAATGTTGGGTGCATGTGAAGATGGTTTTTGGTTGCAATATAGTATTTGTAGACAACAGGGGGGTGAAGGATTTGATGCTTGTGCTGTTGATGAGAATTGTTTGCTCTGCAAAATAATACAATTATTCATACGTGGACCCTTCATATGTTTAAGGCAGCAAAACCTCCATTGTATTTATGTTCGTCTTTTATACTAGTCTTTAGGCTGAAATATTGTGGGAATCTTACCACCTCTCTTTCTGTTATATTCCACTCGAAGGAGGGCTCTTTATCGCTCCACACATGTTTTATATGTCTGGGAAACTGCAACCATCCGATTTTGATCAGATGGTTTAGAGTTGAAAACAATGTCAAATCTTCGCACTAATTGTGTGTTTGTTTTAATTAATGTGTGATATTCTTGTAAGCTCGCTCATAGCCATGTTTTGATCAGATCTCCAGACCTATACAGTTAATATATGTATGGATAGAGAATTGGAGACAAAACTCGTTGGGGATTAACAATACAAGATCCCATCATTGGAAGAGCTTTTAGGGTCTGGAGAAGATGGTTCACCATTTTTAAGAATGTTCACCAAGATCTATGAGCTTCTATTGACATTCACAATCATTTCTGTGACTCCCCCTTTGCTCCTCAATTGTAAAAATGGGCATGATTTTATTTTCACTCTTTTTTGAATTATGATTTTACTTTGGCAGAGTTGAAATGGGTAATGAAACTCCAAGTGGGAAAATTATATGAGCCTAAGTCATGTAAATCTTTTCTAAAAAATTATAGTTTTGTGGCATTTCTTGGTTTGTGGGGTTGTCAATTTTTCTTATTCTTTTTAGGAAAAAGTTTATATAAGGATGCAACCTTAAAAATGTAGAATCACAGATGGAAAATGTTGTTGAAAAACTCCTTAATTGATCATTTTGACTTCGAAATGTATGAATATGAAAAAAAAAAAAGATTTTGAGTATCAGAAATAATGCATTTTGCAACACATTATTTAGACCGTCTATTTTTAAGATTTTCATCTATTTATAGGTCTACTTGATTTTAATCATTTTTGGAGTTTAAAATTTTATAATTAGATATAAAAATAGGTTCTCAGGTAATCCCAAAAATTTTTTACACCAAAACCACATATTATGATAAAATTTGGAGGTGATTGGATTGTTTAAGGTTGCAACCTTACATAAACCGCACCCTTCTTTTTATTGAGCGATGCCATTTCTTTCGTGTACTTTTTATCCTGTGATGAGCGGTTTTCAAGTGAGGCAAATACCCTTTTACATGCGAGTTACATTTCACCATGTTTTTTTGATGTCCCCGCATACTACTCAAGCCTAACCCTAATTCATAGTTCATTTAACTGTTACAAGCCACTGCCTAAGTTTTCAAGTTAGACAAACGCCCATTTATTTGCATTAATATTTAGAGAGGGATAGAGCTTTTATGGGGATTGGACCTAAGACTACAATGAAATAAAAAAGGGGAAAGATTTTATGGGATTTTATTGGACTAGAATACTGTTGTTAAGAAAACAATGAAAAATGAGCAGGGTATTACAACTTTTTGAACTGAAAATATATATTAGAAGGAAAATAGTTTGATAGGGATGCAACCTTATCAAAATAAATAAAGGCTCACCTCAAAATTCATTGAAAATTGTAATTTAGGTATTGGAAATCTTTAAATAAATAATCTTGGCCTTGAACATTATGATTGTAAAAGAAAAAAAAGATTTCAAGCTCTTAAAATAATGTATATTGTAACAAAATTAATTAGATTGTATGTTTCACGCTAAAAATTAGTTTTTATGAATATACAAGATTTGTAATATTTGTTGAGCTTCAAATTTCATAATCAACGTCGAAAATTGATTTTAGAGCTATCATGGAGATTTTTGATACCTAAAGTACTTCCTGTGAAAGAATTCAAGGTGAGGCTTTACTTTGTTTTAATAAAGTCTGGGCTTTATAAAATCTTCATCCATGTGAAAAAGTCTAGGTCATTGCCAAATAACCAGGGAAAAAAATAGACACGACAAGCTAGTACACCACCAAATACTTGCTTACACCACACCCCACCATGACCAATCTTTCCTCCCACAAGATTCAAGCCAAACCAAACCCAACCCAACCCAACCCTTGCAAACTGTGGTTCATTAGTATATTAGAGCATATTGTATGTTTACTCCCTGGGGTAAAAAAAAAAAATTTAAAAGAATCTTTTTATATGAAAATTTGAGATCAACTCAGAATCACGAGGCGACAAGGAAAAAATGAATTGGACTTTGCGGTTCTCCAACACTTTGATCTTGCCTTTCAGAAATTGAACAGTTCTTTATTCGATTTTGAGATGGTACTTTTCTGGCGCATAGAGGGTGGAAGAGGATCCGATTAGTCTTCGAGTCTGGGTCCAGCCGGACCCGACCCTACCCGTACACAACCCGCCATCCAATGAGTTCGGGTCCAAGTCTTAGTTCTAAACTCAGTAGGTTACGTACGAGCCCGGTCCGGCCCAGGACCCTAAAGGGACTTTGGGGGCAGCTCAAAGCAGGGATCGTCTGGCGCGGGCCGGCCCAAGTCTCGGCGGCCCTTACTATGGGCATTTGCCGGCCAAGGTACATCTTTCCACTCAAACCGGCGGAGAACGCAACTCTTCAAAGAAGGCGGCTTGCGTCTCTCTCTGGGCCCGGCCTAAAAATTAAGTTCACCCCAACCCTTCCTGGGGTTCGATTAAAATACCGTCCTTTTCTCTCTCTACGCGTTGCTCCTCTCTCTCTGTACATCGCTATCTCTCTACATCGCTCCTTTCTCTCTCTCTACTCAGCTCTGTCACGCTTGTTCTCTCTCTTTCACTTGTTCTGCCTATTCTCTCGCTCTTGTTCTCTTCATTCTCTTTCTCTCTGTTGCCATCTTTGTCATAAAACCCTTGTTAGGGTTTGAATACCTTTCTTGCAATCTCTCTCATTTTTCTCCCCCAACCTCCTTCTCTCTTCTCAACTGCATTATCTTTCTCAGGACTCTCAAGCTGTAACGTGTCTCAATTGCTGCTCTCTCTCTCGTCATCATTTTACCCAGAATAAGAGCGAAGCTTATCTCTCTCGGCTGTACCCCGTCTCTCTCTCATAGGTATGGTTCACCTCTGATCTTTGAATCAAAGTACTTATTTTGAGATTTACATTACTCTGAAATCTCAACTTGCAGGCTTGTACAGATTTACAGATTTGTGCTTCTCTCTGTGATCTAACAATCAATTTACAGATTCACTTGTTTGCATTAATCGGAAATATCAACATACAGATTTGCAATACTTTAAAAATCAATTTACAGGTTTTACATTACCCTGAAAAATCGATTTACAGATTTACTATCAAAATTGACTTTATAAATTTAATCAGTAAATCTGAAAAGTTGAAGCAATTATGTGATTCAGATTTACAGATTTTCCCTGTAAAAAGTATTACAAAATTACAGAAGCAAATATTTGAGATTTTACGGAAGTTACAGATTTTTTGATTTAAAGATTTACTTATTTATTCTGTAAAAATGTAAAGTAAAAATCTGAAAATATGTAATAGTGGTTACAAGTTTACTCAAACTCTGTTGATTTCTCCTCCATTTGTAAATTTTTTTGCTCCAAATCAATAAAATATTCGTTTTTATTATAAGAAATTGTTTTTTATCAAAATTAGTAAAATCTGTGAAACAATTATTTGCTAGAAATTAGTATTTTATTAGTGATTCTTTTGATCAAAATCAGCATCTCTGTTTTTCTAATTAAAAATTTGCAAACTAAAAATTTACAAAGTTTATAGTGATTTGAGTGGGATACTTGCCATTTACAAATTTACTCAAAATCTATAAAATTTGTCCTCCATTTGTTAGTTATTTGCTTGAAATCTATCAAATTGTTGTTTTATTAGAAGAAATATTATTTTCCATCAAAATTAGTTAAATCTTTGAAACAAGTTTTTTGTTGGAAATTTTTCTTTATTATTGCATCTTTCGATCAAAATCAGCAAACCCCAATGAACGATTTTCAATAAGTTGCACACTTGGGTGTAGAACGTTTGATTTTGAGTTGTTACTTTTTGAACACTTCTAAATTTATGCAATATTGTTGCACGAATGCCTCCATGCATGGATTCTTGATGTATTGTATCTTTGTTAGGACTAGATATGAATAGAGGCATGTAAAGTACTACAGTGTGTTGAAAATGAGTCATAAAAAACAATATTTTGTTCCGTGAAGTTTTTGAATGAAAAGTATTTGTATTTTCTTGTTATGAATCGCAAGAAAATGCTGTTAAGATTATCTGTAATGTCAGAGCTTTACTCTGTGCTAGAATTTCTGGGGCATCCCCGTGCTACTAATTGTGCATTTGTGCTTTTGGATGCTCAAGCATTTCAAATGTTGAGCTACACCGTTCATCAACTACGTATGAGTCGTGCAATGTGATCCTAACATACCGGTGCCCATAGTTTTGAAGTCAGAAATTGACCCAAGCTTTGATGTGAGTCCAAGTCGAGTTTCGGATGATGTTACCCTGTATATTGACCACTATGCTGAACTTGATCCATGGTCATGACTCACTTATGATACCTTCAATTGATCTTAAGGAACCAACTGCCATAAATGTTCTTGCCACATTCACACCTATACTTGGTCAAAAAAGAAACATGGGGCTCTAATTATATTAGAATGGAATGGCTCGTGTATCATTCCAAAGGATATATGATGTGTAAGCTACTAAGTTGACAAAATCCAGCCATAGCTTATAATTTTGTCAGTATAAATTGTGACTTTTCTTATAGAAAAGGCTATCGATTGCAAGATTAATATGCTTATGGAGTCTTTTTCATTTTTTGTGTGTTGATAGTGATCTTAACATGAATAGATTATTTTTCCCTCTAAGCATTTGCAGTATCCGTTGATCTTGACAAATGCAAAGTCCTCTGAAGTCTGTATTTGGAGACTTTTATTCATTTATGAGAAGTCTCTTTTTTTTCTTTTGGGAGGGGGGGATGGGGTTGGGGTTGGGGTTGGGGGATGAGGTAGCACAATGTTTTTCAATTTATGGAGCTATTGTTGATTTTTTTTTTTGAAACCTCAAGCTATTGTTGATATTTCTTCATAACAAAACGGAAATTTTAGATATTTTATCTCTTTGAAACGCCTCTATCGAGATTATAAAATAATGCGGCAAAAGGATGATTTCATGTCATGTTTGAAGTACCATCCTATTCAAAAAGAATAATCACATCATATTTTGGTCATTCCCTGGGTATTCTTGACAATTTATTATGCTAGTGGTCCTATCACTATTTTTTAATTTATCAGATGGGGTCTAGTAGAGATCCAGCATGGTTGTGTCACTAGTTCTTCATCAACATGTTCTCAAGACTGAGTTTCCAAGAAATCGAAAAGTTTGAAACTTTTTTCGATCGACAAAAAAGTACAAAATCTTCTATTTTGGGGTTGTTTTACAAGCTCCAAATGCACACAAATGGGGTTTGGTGGTAAAATGGCCCCCCAAAAAACCTTATCCCCTTTTTCAGGGGGGAAATGACCTTTTTTGCCCTTGGCTGCTGGCCTTTTTTACCCTCCTAGGCAGCCTAGGCCCTATGCAGTTGCAATAAACCCCTTGGACCGCCTAAGTGTCCAGGTGGTCGAGTTTTCCATCACTGATAATAATAAGACAAAAAAAAAAGTCCACTAAAAAATTAATGGGATAAAACCTCCCTCCCCAATTGATGAAACAATTGGTAAGCCCTTCCTATTGATAGGATAAGCCTTCCTATTGATAGGAAGGTAAATTGCGTGGTAAATTGCGCCTTGTAGCTTTACCAAGTCAAACATGGGAAAGCTACAACATGGTGAAAAGCAGTGAAAATTGGTGGCTTTTCTTCGTTATCAAACAAGCCCTAAGTTTACACCAATTTGACATGTAACCTGGTTTTGGGAAGGGGGGCAATGGGGTTAATCGCGCATTAAGCACTTTAATATCAAGCAGCATGGTGAAAATCGGAGAAATGTCCCTAATTTTCACCACTTTTCATTGCACTGTAACTTTCCCATGTTTGATTGGGGAAAGCTAAAGGGTAAAATCTACCCTGCTTTTCCCCATCAACAGGAGATGTGACGAAAGTCATAGACCACCCTTGGGGGTTATTTGCGCTTTCCCAATAAGTTTGGAATAGTCGATGATTTGAGGTTATTATGAGTCATTTAGTTTGTGGTAAAGTTCCTTCTAGGCGTAGTAGATCACCATTTTCTATGTCTAGTTCATGGGGAAGTGGGTTGCTTATATGAAAGTGCATTCTCATTTAACGTTGCGTCTATGCTATATTGCAGGAAAGCACATGCATTCCTAAAGAGGTATGCACCTGTTTTCCTATGGGCGGACCATCCACTATGTGAAAGCTTTCTATTATAGAGAACTTCCATATGAACCAAATGACCCCTGAAGGGTTCTCATGTCTCTCTCGTCTCTGCCCTAGCTTCCTTGAACTCGCTTGCTGATCTCACACTCTCTCTATCCCCTATGCCCTAGGTCTAGGAGGATCCTCTCTTTCTTCTCTCTATATCTCAATCTTAAGAAATTGTGCTTCATGACCATTGAATCCATCAGCCAACAATATCGTGCTCCATCCTCCCAAAATTTAAATTTATGGATCTTTGAAATCACGTGTAGCTTTTTCAACCACTTCGAAATCCAAGGTTTAGAGGTATTCATATCCTAACTTTTGCTCTCTTTTACTTTCTGTATTTTTGATTCACAGATTTGACTCATGAAATTGGTGTTGTGCTGTTTGTGTTTGTTTTTTTTTGTTCTTTTTTCTTTTGCTATTTATGAACTCTAGGTTGCATTTTAATTTAGTATTTTTTGAATCACAGAGTTTGGAACTGGATCTTGGTATTATGTAGGTTATCTTGGAAATTGTTTAGGGTTGAAAGTTTGATTGGGTTTGGTCAAATTAGATTCAATTCTGAAGGCATTTGGATGGGTGGCTCCTCTGGTAGCCACTCCTCCCTTCTACTCAAACTATGTCCCTCTCTTCAAGCACCCCCCTACCCAGCCTCACCTTCGCCCCTCTGCACACCCTCGCCCATACCTCAACCCTTCCACCCAACTCTAACTTCTTCCACCCCCGCACCCCCGTAGTCGTACCCCTCATCACTCTTCACCCCACATTGAGGTCGCGCCATCTCCCAGACCCAACCCCAACCCCAACCCCTGCTCTAGGTCTGGCACCGTCCTTCCCTATCTCCTTTAGACAAAGTTTCAAAAAATGCTAGGCGGCCGGCCTAACGCCCAGTGCACAGATGGGCATCCAAAACCTCAGGCGCTCTGTAGTACAAATTCTTTAGATATATACACATATGTCTTGTTCAAACGCACATATATACGTTTATTTGTGTCAATTTTGTAATCTATTGCATTCGAAAATATTGTAACATACCTTTTTATATATAAACATATGACGTATCACATGTTGAGCATAAAGTTGTTCAAAATTTCAAAATTCAAAATTTCAAACCATACAAAATTTTAAAAAAAGTTAAGGGTGTGGTTTGTAAAAGGCTGAGGCCCTAAACAATCAAAATAAGGCACACCTTCAAATAGTGTAAAAAGATGTCGTTTCGGTACCAAAAATCTTTATGATGACCTGAAAAATTATTTTCAGCTCTAATTATAAGATTTAAAGCTTAAAAAATAGTGTAGATCAAGATCTACGAACACATGGAAATCTTAAAAATTGAAGGTCTAGATAATGCATTACAAGATGCACAATTTCCAAGACTTAAAGTTCTTTTTCTTATGTCCATGTATAATATCCAAATGCCTAAAGTCCTAACCAAGATGGTGCAATAAAGATACTACAAAAGAAGAGAGAGAAGATCAGTGTTTCTTCAATCATCATCAGTAATAATCAGAATCAACATCGTCATCGCTTGCATCTGCATCGAAATCGAGGCCATCATCATCGGAATCGTCACCCTCTTCATCATATCTTCTTCCTCAGTTTCTTATGAATCTGCCGCCTCCTCTATCTCCCTCTCCTTCTGTGAGCGTGAAGTACCAACAATAGTCGTTGCTCAAGTGGCCCTTTTAGGATCTGAAGCTCAACCTGAAGCCTCCTCAACCATTTCCCAGGTCAAACCCTCTGTGGTCAAGATCTCCTCAGTACCAGGGTCTCCAACTAGCCAATCGGAAGTATTCACCATGTCCTTCGAAGCGATGAGATCCTTCTTTTGCTAGTTAAACTTCTTGAGCCTCTGATCCTCTCTAACATAAACCAAGTCATTGAGCTTCCTTTGTTCAAGCCCATTTTTTCTCTTTGTATGCACCTATAAGAAAAAATGCATGGGTACTACTAGTGTACTAGTCTACTACTACTACTAATTAAGCCATCTATTAGTGATGTAATATATCATATGTTAATATGTTTATATCTATTATCTTCTATGAATCTATACTAGAAAAATGAAATTGTAAACAAGAAAAGAATATAAAATACCATCTCAAACGAACTCCAATTGCGCTCACAACCAGAAGAATTAGTCGTCAAACTCAAGATCCGAATAGCCATCGTCTGACAGTGTGGAGCGCTACTCCCATATTGTCTCCACCATTAGGCTGAAATATGTGGGCAACCTTTATAATTAATTTAGGCATTTAACATTATCATGCAGAATTTTAAGAACTTGAAAGAAAATTTCTAACAAAAATACAAAATATATTATTATTATTTGGTTCCTCTTTACTTCTTTGTCTTTTTGCCATATATTTCCCTAATGACATCAACGCACACTTGTACAAAATGCGCTCTTCAGTTGATATCTTATCTTGGATTTTTGGTTAGGGAACTAATATCTCAAGGCACTCATTAAAACAACATCCCCATAAAAGAAATTGGGGTTCAAGTAGTACCCTGCTGAATGCAATGGTCTATGGAGTTGCCTATCCCACTTGGCATCTATAATCTCCCAAATTGGGCCGTACTATACCTCATCATTGCTCAAATTCTATGCAGTCTCCTTTTTAGCTCCTTCAAGCACATCATATATAGAGCCCATAGAGGACTTGTCAGCATCAACCAAGCACAAGATCTTCACTAAGGGTAGAAATACTAGTATCGCCTGCTTTACACGACGCTAAAAATATTTAGAAAGAATAATATCCCGTGCCTTTTTTTCCTTAGCATCTCTAAATCACCTACACCTGCGGCAATCCTTTGAAGCAAACATAGTCCTCAATGGGATCCTCCTTTTATACATGTTCTGTAGACTAAGATAGGTAGTGGCAGATCTAGTGCCTTGGGCCTCACGAGGTCCCTCTTCTTAGTGAACTTGCACATCATGCTAAGGGTAATAATGTGATTGTATATGAAGATTGTAACCTCCTTAGCCTTAGAAAGAACTCGTTTAATAATAAGCATATCACCAATGGCCTCAAACATAAGATCTATGCAATGTATGGCGCAAAAAGTCCAAAATATGCAAGGCCTCTTCTGGCGAAGCAAATTATTTACAGCTATAGTAGGAGCATAATTATCTGTGACCACTTGAGTTACGTACTCCTCCCCAACCTCCTCAATGCCCTTATCAATAAAAAAAAATATACTGAGTATCATGATCATCATCAAAAGCATCAATGGATTGTAAAAAACCTGTACCATGGTTCTCCTCTTGACTTGCAACCCTTTCCCAAATTACTCAATGGCTTCTAACATTGTATAGAAGCTATTCGAGCGAGCGATATTAAAGGAAATGGCCGCATGGTAATCCATCGAGCAATATATTGAACCGCTCAGACTCTATCTTCCTTTTTAAATCTATTTTCAATTGTCACTGTCTCGGGTTAGTTGTAAAAAAACTATCAATTGGCCTTTTCGCATGAGGCCTCTTAGACCCAAAACCTGTTACTCTTAGAGCTCTGAGTAACAACCATACCTACTTCGTCTTCCCCTTGTTCATCTTCATCAGTGTCAACATCAGCATAAAAAGTGTGGATCCGTGCTCTCAATTCTACTATATATATATCTATATATATTTTTTTTAGCTTCAATGTACTTAGAAATTTCTTTCTTTACAAGCTCTGGGACCTTCTTACGTGAGGCAACATCACTTCTAATACTAGCAAGATGTTTCTTGAATTAATTTATGTCGAAATTAGAAATATGTCTACAAAAATTGCACATAATTTTATTTTTGTCATTCTTATTCAGGTTAACACGATACTTCCATGCCGGATCCCTGCTCCTAGTAGACCCCGTAGAAGATATCTCAAATCCGAAAAATGAGACTCAAATAAAGTTTACAAACTGACAATTTTTGTCCCAATCTCTGCTTTTCGATGTTTGTGACCTCAATCGAGCTGCTAATCACCTCAAAAGTCTTCTAATACCTCCAATAGCACCGAAAAAATAATTCTAGTGAGAAGAAAAGTTTAGGAAGCTTCTTCATCCACAAAAAATGCTTTTGATTTCAGAAATAGGTATAGCTAAGAGATTTAGGGCTTATGGAAGTGTTCTTTTAACTTAAGGGGGTTGCAAATAACGACCATGATCCATTTAAATTTTTTTGGGGGTCAAAATTACCCCTTTGCCCTTTTAGGCATCTTTATAAATTATAAAAAGGCCTATGACCTCGGCTCTCGCCCAGAATTGGGCGCTGGGCGGCCGCCCAGGTACAACCACCAATAATGGGCCACCTAGGTCTAGGCTTTTGGTCTGAGGTCTCTTGGGTGCCTAGGTGGGTGCCTTGGCACTGGGCTGACCATTTTTTAGAACACTACCTCTAGAGATCGCCACATCCCCCTTGGTCTCCCTCTTTTTTCTAGAGGATGACACATGCCCCTTGACCTCTGACCCCAAGCTGCCATCTTCTCTCTCTCCCCCCTTTGCCACCCCCTTCACTCATCCCATCCACGTGGCACCCCGTCCCTCCTCTTGCCATGTTACGCCCCTCTCTTCCCCCCCCCTTGTCGCCCTTCTCTCAGCCCCATCGCAGCTTTTCCTCCTTGTTTATAACTCCCCTCAACATGTCATACTTGGCTCCTCCTACTCTTTCGTTTGCCCGGTGCTACTCAGCTTCGTCACAGCCCTCCATCATTCTAGCGCTCATCCTGAGGAACCTGACCAGCCTCCTCCTTGTCCCCCCTTCCTTGGTCCCTCTCCCACCTCTTGCCATCCTCTGTCCTTTCCCTTGCCTCCTTCCACCCTTCGCCTCTCCCCCACTCAGTGGCCTTCTCCTCTAGCCACCCTTCCTAACCCTAATCCTGCCATAGATGGCCTCCCTTCAGCCCCTCTGCTCTTCTCCCAACCCCCTCTTCCCCTTGGCCATATTGCACTTTCTACCCCGACGGAGCTTCTCCCCGCATCTCCTTCTTTTTCCGGCCCACTATCAACAAGTGATGACTATCATTCAAGGCCTGCCCCTTGTCCAGTGGTGCTTCACTCCATTGCAACCTGCTGACCCTAGTCACCTCCTCAGCAATGCCTCCATCTTCTCAAGTGGCAACACCCATTCAGAACCCAGCTCACCTGGCAATCTCTCAGGGTCGTCTTCACCCTGCCCTTCTCCATGGTAGGCTCCCCAAACCTCGTCAGAGCCAACCTCTTCTCTCACATCCAAACTCCAGCATTTCCTCTAGTGTCCTGACACCCCCCCCTCTCCCGTCTTCGCCCCAGCCCCTGCTCCCTCCTCCTTCCCCCAGTCTGTGCCCTCCTCCTTTTCATATCCCCTACTTCCCTCTGCCCCCGCCCTCTTTACCCCCAATCTACATACCCTAGTCCGTCTCCCCTTGGGGCTTCTTCCTTTTGCCCCCTATTCCCTTCCCTTTGCCCCCTTCTTCCCTCCTCCTCAACACTCCACCCATCTCTCCATCTTTCCCCTGCCCACCACCCCCCCCTCTTGCCCGGCCATGTGATTCTCCCTATCCCTCTCCCGTGGACCCTCCACTCCCGGCTTCTTCAGCGGACCCCTCCCCCTTTCCTTCAATCCCTCTTCTGGGATCTTTCATTCCCTTTCGTCATTTGGTGCCCCACTCCGCTCCCTTCCCTCACTTCGGCTCCACCCTGCAAGAACCCACCTCAAGCCCCTTCCTCAGAGTAGCATTCCTCTTCTCTGGCGTTGGCGGATTACAGATTCATTGACTACATGGACCAAGCTCAAGGCAACATTATCCAAAGTCTTGAAAGTGATGGGGTTCCATTTCGATAGTCCACAAGAAGCCCTACTAGCTTTCTTCAAGCCGGATGCTCACTCCAGACCCAAGGTTAATTGTAGAGGCTGCAGAGAGATCTCAAACCTAGCTTTTGGAATCAACTATGATCGGCATGCCCTTCCCCCTCCCTCTACTGCTTCTCCGGAGGCCCCTGCACTTTTGGAGGCACCCTCCATGAGACGCTCGTCAAGGCACGTCACCCCCCTACCCACACTCATGTTGATTCTCTCCTGGAGTGTTCGGGACCTCAGGCATCCAACCAAGCACCATGCAGTGCGCGACATTTATCGCCCGTCATTCCCCTTCCCCAACTGCCCTCATTGAAACAAAGCTCCCCTCACCCACGTTCAGTCTGTCTAGCAGGTGTGCGGTTGAAGGCCCTGATACACATGATTTTTTTTATATATTTTGACTTCACTAGATTAGATATGCATTTGCATCAGATCTTATTTCCATAGGCTGATTCTCCACATTATTTATAGAATAAGTAATACTTTGTCAATTTAGCAAGCACATTTTCTAAAGGAGCCTTCAGTCTTGTGTAACTTGGAATTTTCTGTTTAAATCTCAGAAAGTCATCTTAAAACCATGCTAAATCTTTTCCCCGTAAATGTGAGTATTCTGCTTAGTGTTAAAACTATGCTGAAATTGGTACATGCGTGCCATTGACTTCATTCAGTCCCAAATGCTGTACTTTTTAATCATTAAACTGTTGGGGAGCATTTTAGAAATCTGATATATGTTTTCTTTCAGAGGTCCCCTGAATTGCACATAAGTTCATTTAAAACTATGTTATGGAGGGCCCTTTTAAGTTCTTTCATCTATACATCTTGTATATATTAACATAGAACTGTTGGAGAGTACTATAAAAATCATCTAAGCCCTTTTCTGCATATTAAATTTCACATGGGCCCAATGACTTGAAAAACTACTAAAAATATTGCATATGTTTCAACGAGTTCTTTTAGCCCTAAATTATATATAATAGTGGATGGCACACACACGGCACACCATAGAAATCATTATTCCTTTTGCTTGAAGTGGCTCCACTCAATCTTACATAAGTTATGTGCCTCAATATTCTGTTAATTTTGTTCAACCATTGAATTCTCGCACTAATTCATCTATAGTCTATATAAGGTTGTGTTAATCCTTTTTTGCAGAGGTCCCACTAAATCTCACATAACTCTCTCAGGAAATTACTCTGCCAAGAGGTTGGAGTTTTACAGAGGCTAAATTGAATACTAAAATGGTGGGGAGCAATGAGAAAAATCCAGATGAGAATCCAATGCCAGATGTTGATTCCTTGGTCAAGAAATGGCAAGACGCGCACTCCCTAGGCAAGCGGCACCGGTTCTGGGAGACCCAACCAGTCGGGCAATTCAAAGATCTCGGTGACCCCACCCTCCCTGAAGGCCCTATTGAAGCCCCCACCCCATTAGAAGAGGTGCGCCAGGAGCCCTACAATCTCCCTTCCCAGTACGAATGGTCCACCTGTGACATAAACTCTGAAGAGACATGCACTGAGATATACAACCTCCTCACCAACAACTATGTTGAGGACGACGAGAACATGTTTCGGTTCAACTACTCCAAGGAGTTTTTGTTTTGGGCCCTCCGCCCCCCTGGTTACTTCTCAAGCTGGCATATTGGCGTTCGTGTCAAGGGGACTCGCAAGCTTGTGGCCTTCATAACTGGCATCCCTGCTAGGATTCGTGTTCGAAACCAGATTGTTCAGATGGCTGAAATTAATTTTCTTTGTGTTCATAAGAAGCTAAGGACTAAGAGGCTTGCACCAGTCATGATCAAGGAAGTTACGAGGAGAGTTCACCTGGAGAACATATGGCAGGCTGCTTATACAGCTGGAGTGGTGCTACCTACGCCAGTTTGCACCTGCCAATATTGGCACCGGTCTCTGAACCCTAAGAAGTTAATCGAAGTTGGGTTTTCAAGACTTGGGGCAAGGATGACGATGAGCCGAACCATAAAGTTATATAAGCTTCCTGAGAGCACGGTGACCGTAGGTTTCAGGGCCATGGAGTTGAGGGATATCCCAGCTGTTACCCGGCTCCTTCGTGACTATTTGGCTCAGTTTGTTGTGGCACCAGATTTTGATGAAGATGATGTTGGGCATTGGCTACTTCCGAAGGAGAATGTAATTAGTAGCTATTTGGTAGAGAACCCTGAGACCCATGAGATCACTGACTTTTGCAGCTTCTACACTCTCCCTTCTTCGATACTTGGCAAACAGAATTACTCGACACTGAAAGCTGCTTACTCATACTACAATGTGGTTACCCAGACTCCTTTGCTCCAGCTGATGAATGATGCTCTCATTGTGGCCAAACAGAAGGATTACGATGTGTTCAATGCATTGGATGTCATGCATAACGAATCATTCTTGAAGGAGCTGAAATTTGGGCCCGGTGACGGTCAGCTCCATTATTATCTTTACAACTATCGCGTACGACAAGCTTTGAAGCCATCTGAACTAGGACTTGTGCTATTGTAGTTAGTTGTACCAGGCAAAGTATTTATGCTTATCTCCATTGAGAGGACCAGGGATACGATTCCTGCATGTCAGTTGTTTGATGTAGGTATTTGTGGACTGCGGTTCATTGGCGTGATTATCAATGGTCATCTGGCAGTTTGATCCTATTCTGTGTGAGGGGGGACTTTTAGATGTGCTTTACTTATCTTTAGCCTTTCTTGAGGCAATGGCGGGATATTTCAATACTCCTAAGTGTGCATAGTTCTTCTATATGAGCATGCAAAATCAAAAAGTTTTTCTTTGGTGTTGCTCTTATCCATATTAATGATGTTACATCTTCCATCATCCAGCATTTCATATGATCGTTGTAGTTTTTGAAGGTTGCTGTTTTCTGTTTGATATCACAGTGAGTGTTATTGTTTATTAGATGTGCATGCACTCAGGTATGTTCGGTATGAAGCTGTAATTAGCTTTGTTGTTTTTCATCGATACTGGGACTTATTTCAAATCTTAAAACTAATGCATTTTGTAACAAAACTTTTTAAGTGTTTATAGATTTGCGTTATCTCCACCATTTTTGATTTTTTAAATTTCATAACTACGGTTGAACATGGATTTTGGAGGTATAATAAAGTTTCCAACACTGAAACTATAACCTCCGGCAGAGGTGGGCACCCTATACAAACATCACCCTCTAGTAAGACCTTACATATATTTCATGCCACTTTTCCTTGTTGGAAGCCTGATTTTGTTCTGTTAAATTTTTGGTATGGTTTCGTACAGAGATCATGATTTATGATGAATTGGAATGGTGTCATTGCAGTCTGTAAATCCATTTATACATACAAATTATCTTAGGTCTGATCACTGACCAGTACTTCACATTGATACCTCCAAACAATCAACATGGTGAGTTTACAGTTATTCGGTGAATGAGTTCCATTCTAAGAATAAGAAATTTTTTTTGGTGTTTCTGTACTTCGGAACTATTTGTGATAAGGCACGATGTTGATTAACATGATCTGTACTTGGGAACTAGGCTTCTAAAGTTGGAGAATCAACCTATAACACAGCCGGGTTGATTCAACCGGCTAAATCACCTGGTGGACACATTTGCTCCATTTTACAATATCAAACCAAGTTTTTGGGGTTTTAGCTGACACGGTTTATATGTGTGCGCGAACATGTAACTCATAACGATTAGGTTATGTGAAACTACAGCGGGTTACATTTGCATTCCCTTTGTTCTGATTTCCCAAGTTTCTGCTCTATTTCAACCTGTAAAATGTCTTTTATCAGCGATTGACTTCTGTTTTTTGATCCCTTTATCATAATTACATAATATTAATATAAACTGTTTTAAGAAAGCTTTACATAACATAAGAGTTATAGACTGTATAGAACCGAAGATAGCAGCAGAAGCATTAAAAAACTGATGAATGCAAAAAGTGCAACAATAAATATTTGTATTTTTCAAATTAAAATACTGTAGCTGTTAATGTGAAAGTTTGGCAAACTTTGTTATATTGACATTTAATGTACTACTCAAGCTGAGTTGAATCTGCGTTGCGGATTTGTGTGGTTCTGCGTTCGGAGACTCAGAACCTTGATGCAGTCTGTTCATTATAACTTTCAAAAAAACAACATTGAAGGTCAGTTTGTCAAATTCGCTTTGCTATACTTAAAGAAGCCGAATCTTTCTGATTTTAGGTTTAGACTGAAGTAAAGCGAAGCCTGACGCTCTCGTTTTAGTTAAATTCTGTCTGCTTCGGTCAGATTTAGTTTTGCTTGGAGCTGATTTAGATGAAGTAAAGAATATATATGTAAAAGTATTTTTTTTATTTTTTTTGAAATTTTAATTTTGAATTTTTTTTATTTTTTGTTATTTTTTGTGAATTTTAATTTTGAATACTGCAATGGGCAAAATCCTTTCAGCATCACCTAGGGATTGGCTTACTCCACTTGTGAAGACATGAAAGCTCTGCTCTCTCTCCCTCTAAGTGTTACAAAATTCAAAATTCAATTTTTTTCTTTTAAAAATAATCATCTAGTAATTCTCATGTGGTTCCACAAATCTTAGACCAAAAAATCGTTTCTAAGTAGGTGTTTCGAGCTAGGGAGAAGATATACAGAATATGCTCCTACGCGCTCATTTTCTTTTTATTTTTTAGAGAAAGGAAAGAGGACTTCTAGCCTTTTGGAATCTTGGTACCAAACTATTTTTTAGAGAAAGGAAAGAGGACTTTTAGCCTTTTGGAATCTTGGTACTAAACTTGGGGGCTTTTGTGCTGGTTGTTTGTTATTTTTCTAACTACGGCGAGAGTTTTTTATAGAAAGAAGTCATAATCATTATGAGCCATTAGACGTGAATCAGGTAGTTGAGGGTATGTCATTGACTAGGCACAAGGTCTAAAAATAAATTTCTGAAACTATATAACACATTTTGAGTAATCAAATTTCGTATCCAATAGTCAAAAATAATTGTGACTTCTTTGTACCAAAAATATATGGTCTCATGTATACAATCCTTTTTTGTATTAAAAAAGCCTTCTATATGACCTCATCCACATAAGTAATATATATGACCCCTGATCTTAGCCGTCAGATCTAAGTAGGTGGTTGAGATGACTTGATCAAAATGTCACAAGCTGGCTCTTGAGTGTCAAATCTTAATCTAATGGCTTAAAGTTTTATTTTTAATTTTTATTCCATAAATCATTTTGAAATGAAATTTGGGCACGCTCTTTTTCTGTCTACCATCTTTCTTTCCTCTAGAAGACTATAATGATAAAATATTTGCATGTGAAACTCTTGGTAATATTCGGTGGTAGTATTTTAAATACAGAGAAAGGAGGAAAGGGGTTGAGTCATGGGCATTTTTGCCAGCTCCTACATAATTGAAAAAGGTTCTGTAACCCCAAACCTAAGTTTCTCTCTCTCTTTGAGTCAGATAGCTATGGCTAACTCTGGTGAAACTCATCCATTCCGACATTAGCGCTATGGTGACATTAACTCCTTTTTCTATGCTTTCTATAAAAGAAATAGAAAAAGATAAAGAGTTCTTTCTTTTATCTTTTTCTATTCTAAAGTAGAGGACTAATTACATTGCCGGTTATTGCATTACCGTGACCAAAAGATTTATCTGGCCCATTAAACTAAGGGGTTTCCAACAGTTTATGAAGCAAAATATTTCGTATTCCCTTATATATAAGGGTGCGGATTGTTGAGAGCCTAGGCTCTAAACAATTAAATTAGAGCCTACCTTTAAATAGTATTGAGAAATGTGGTTTCAATACTGGAAATCTTTGCGATAGCTTTAAAATATATTTTTATCTTTATTTATAAAGTTTAAAGCTTAAAAAATAGTGTAGATTGACAAATCTATGAAAATTTGAAAATCTTGAAAATTGACAGTCCAAAAATACATTTGAAAATACACAATTTTCAAAGCTGGAAATCTATTTTTTTTTATTATGTTCATGCATGTTGATGTTGAGATGATCAATTTGAGAATATTTAGGCATCAAAATAACCTCTTCTAGTGAAAATTTAAAGTAGGCTCCAATTTGATTGTTTAGAGCCTTCGTTCTATATAAACTTTTCCCCTGTAGAAAGCATGAAGTGGGTTGGTACATACCAATAAAATATTAAATTTTGAATCTAAATTAACCATTTGTAGCTAAAATTTCACCTTAAAATACATAGTACTACCAAATGATATTATTTTTATATTTAATAATTGTTTGATGTTCACAACATAACGGAAAAAGTTTATATAAGGTTGCAACCTTAAAATGTTGAATTACAGATGCACCTAAAAAATCCATCAAAAAAGATTGTTTTAATATTAAAAAACTTTCTAATTAATCATCTCGACATCGAGATATATGAATATGAGGAAAAAAAAGATTTTGAGTCCCAAAAATAGTGCATCTTGCAATCCATTATCTAGACCGTCTATTTTCAAGATTTTCATATGTTTATAAATCTACTTTATTTTAACCATTTTTGAAGTTTAAATTTTGATAATTAAATATAAATTTCAGATAATCCTAAGAATGTTTTACACCAAAATTTAGAGGTGTGCCTTAATTGGATTGTTTAAAGTTGCAACTTTATAGAAAGGCACCCTAATAATAATGATTAATATTTTAACTTAACAAAGTCTACTATGACCTTTTTATTTAAAAATTTGGTATTGATTTTATTTCAAATTAATTTTTCATATATTAATTAAGGTTGAGATTGTGTCCGGCCTGGCTCACCCAGGCCTGATCATGGCCCGTTAACAACACTTAAGTATTAGCCATCACATAAATCTAAGGCTCGGAGGATGATGATGTTAATCTCTCATTGAATTTGCTCAGCGATTGTTGGAATTGAGTCTTGTATTGGACCAAGCTTGTCCTTGGTTTGTAATAAGGACTTTGCAAAAAGTCTTGTAAATGAGTAGTAAATTGAGTCTGTAATTTTGTTTCCCACTTCAGGGGAAAGAAGAGGGGACTCTTAAAAGACTTTTGGAATCTTGGGACCAAACTTGGGAGTTCTTGTGCTGGTTGTTTGTTCTTTCTCAAACTATGGTGTGAATTTCTTTTTTTTGAACGGAACTATGATGTGAATTTCTATATTTGATTATCTACAAAGTCGTAGTTTCTTTATTCAATGATAAAAGAGAATACATAAACAAAGGTTATTTGTATTTAGTCATAATAATGTTAAGCCATTAGAACATCATCATCCTCATAGTTTTTTTTTAATTAATTAAGGTCGGCTAATGTTTAGCAGTCACTTATGAAATATAATATCTTTAGTGTGTCACAGATCAAAATTTTTTTTGAGATTCGATCTCAAGTATATACCTTCCTAACCGATTTCATATGGCTAAAAATGATTGTAATCCCCTTTAACCAAAGATAGACGGTCTTCTTTTATATTTTATCATAATGAAAATTAAAGAGCATGCGTCACACCAAAAAACAACCATTGAAGCTTATGACACAGCCAAGCTATCATTTACTAAATAAATCAAGGGACATTAAGACCGAAAGCATGTCACCAATCAAAATGAGATCTTATGAATGAGTTCAACACTTAGCTATCTTCCTCCATTAGCTTCTCTCTAGCAAATTATCAAAGAACTCTCCTTACATATGGGTTATTGGCCTGTAAGATGATAAGTCTTTCTCACAGTTTGTTTCAATCGAGTCTAAGGAATATTGATGCACTTATATTCTCATCTCTTTTGAAAACTCAGAACCTTGACTGAGAAAGCAAAGATGAATGGAAAGAGAACTGTAAACCCAATAATTATAGCTGCAACCACCCCCAAGAAGTTGTGCTCGAATCCGAAATAGTCA